GGAAACGTGGTAGTATTCCCGTGTACGGAAGGTGGTAGTTTATCCTACAACAGTGGTATGTTTGCTCACCGTCTAGGTTGTAAAGTGGAAGTAACCATGACCATTGACTAAATGATGCGCATAAGTGATGCTGAAGTTGTGGCACTATTCTTAACAATATTTATGTAGTTTTTCAAAGATATTATTCGAAAATTTGATTCATATTCCGCGTTTTTGGTCGCACCATTGGGAAATGGTATAGCATTCGTGGTCGCCGACCTCATCGGCAGGACGGAGCTTTTTTTGAGCCCTGGAAATATCATCAATTCATCAATAAATAATCATTTTCATTCATTTGGTCATTTTCCGAGGAGAAGGTCATACATTCTAATGATACTTCCTACATTTATCATGCTCCTCGCAGCAGCTCTCAACGATATACGAAATGTACTCTCGTTTGGTATCATTTTCAGTCACCTGCATGCAATAACACATATTCTATGCGAGTTCAAAATGTTTCCATCCTTTTTGGTCCACCCTGTTAGAAATAGGCTGCTTGGGGGCCGTCCGTAACCCTGCCTGAAAGTCCAAGAAAAGGACGGAACCACGAATAGTAATCCCCGGCCCCAGCCATGACCTGAGCCCGTGACATCGAGTATCGAGACTGACACATGTTGACGCTCAATAAAACTCGTGCTTCACTCAGCACGAATAATACGAAGAGAACCAAAGTCGGATGGGGTGAGTGAGGGCTTGAGCGAGGGTATGTTTCCGCTCTCTCAACTGGAAGTGATCACAGCACAGCCATTAGGTACGAATCCGGAGGGGGAGGGGGAATTTGGGGAAAATGTCCGTTCGCAGCGCCCGGAAACGATGAAAATATGTCTTTTTTCTAGAATAGAGAGAAAACGAAACAACTTTTATGGGAAAAAGTTTGCTTTGGACTGCACAGCAGTGGCCAGTGCGGGAACCTTATAAGGAACCGAAATGCGAGAAGTTTTGGGAATTTGGAGAAACTCTTTGGCGGGCTACATAGGCGGCGGAACGGGGGGGGGGGGGGGGCAATGGGGCACCACCGTGTCCTCCCCACTTTGATTTGACATTTTAACATTAGCCCTATGGGCGTTGCATGGAAAGAGTGAGACCAAAAGTCGACATTGCTCCCCCTCCTTAAGGACACTCCCACCTTAACATTAGTTTTGAGTTGAGATAGCCAAATTGGTGGCCATGGCCTGCAAATACCGGTTTGGGCACTCACAACATCGAAAAATGCTTTAATTCGAAGATATGGAATTTCAAACTTGCAGTTTTCGGATTCTAAGGGGCTAATGCATTGGAATGCCCCCTTAGAATTTGTGACGTCAGCGGAGATCTAACGATTTTTAAATCTTAGACTAAAACCATCGTTAACACGTGGTGGTATACGCTGCTTTGCGCGCAACGTCTGCCGCACTTTAAGGCTGCCAAATTATTGCTTCCAAATAAAGTCGCTAGTAACAGGGGAGATCCCAAAAAGTAAACAAAAGTAAAAGCGTAATAGGGGAAAGTGGGGTAAGACGGGCACCTTAACTTTGGAGCCATTTTTCGGCCGGTTAGAAACATCATAGAAACGGGAAACTGGGTGAAAACCTTTTTCAGACATTTTACTTTCATTTGCCAGAAGATGAGACTTAGACCTGATTCAACAAATAAACTGCAGCTATTTTTGCAAAACCTTGCAAAAACCCGTCTTACCCCACCCCATGGGGTAAGACGGTCACATGGGTAGGGCAAGACGGCCAGCTTCTTTCACCGATCAGCGCAGCTCGCAACAAATGCCCGAGATTAGCCGCATTTATACAGTCGCTCGTTGGTCTCAAGTGCTTCGGAAATGGCAGTATACGAGATTCGTGCAGAAGGCGTATGCTCCTATATAGGCCCTAGTTCAGAAGCCATGTAGAACCGTTTTTCACATTCATTATTCGAGAATAAACTGTGCCGAAGGAATATTGCTAACATGTCTGTGAGTATCGGAATCGAACATATTCTTATTAGAAATGCTTCTTTTTTCCTACAGCAACAAAAATATTTTCACCATTACAGACCCATTGGGTTCATAGTTGCCCGTCTTACCCCAAACTCAATGTCAGAAGTTCAGCACGATTTTTCGCTGTGGACAATTTGATGCAGACAAAGCAAATCCGCCGTAAATGAACACTGTTGGCATATGAGTGTACCACAAGTGATTGCGAGTTTTTAACTCTATAGTGCTGTACACAAAAGCTTGCACAATACATTATGGATGTTTTCAATGAAATGAGTGTTTTAAAGAAATCAAAATAAAAGATTATCGACTGAACACAAATTCACCAGACTTGAATGGTGGTGTGTAGTGGGAAAGGCAATTCTGGTCCTAACTTTTCTTGCTCGTAGCGCTATTGGTTTGGTCTGCAGAAGGGGTGCCCGTCTTACCTACCCTGACCGTCTTACCCCACTTTCCCCTATCTTGAAAACCAGTGAATATTTTTCGGTGAAATTTGGTAGATATTCGTTTTCGCTCTTTTTGAACCAAGGGACATCACTTTCATGCCAATTCATTAACTTTTTTGAAGGTGGGAGCCGTGGGAGGGTCCCTTTAAAGGAAATAGTTCACTTTCACGAAATTATTTTTTTGCAATGGATTTATGATTTTTTATGTTCAAAATTATCAGCAAAGAAAATAAAACCTATTTATAACAAAAGATTATTTTCTATATTTTGATAAAGGAAGAACTTTTCAGTTTCTGTAAGGCACAGGCGATCCAGTATGAAAAGAGCATGGGTCCCGAAAATTCTTCAGAAACTAGAGAAATTATCGCGGCCACCGGCATTTGGGCGATCTGCTGCTGCTGAATGTCCTTATTGATCAGTACGAGAATTTCTCTAGAGTTCTCGTAGATAATTTCTCTAGTTTCTGAAGAATTTTCGGTACCCATGCTCTTTTCATACTGGATGCGAATATATGCAAGGCACACATCCTCAACGCAAGGCACCTTTTTCGGGACGAGAAATAGAATATCTTTGCCTAGGGTGATCGTTGGGCTGTAAAAGCTCCTGATTTATGCTCGTCTCAGCCCAGGCTACGGAACTGCTATTCCAGTTCAAAACCCATGTTAAAAAGTGAACTATTTCCTTTAACTGAACGTGTTCCGCCGCCGCGCTGGCGGGTTAGGTAGGGGAGAGCGGGGCCAGTTGAAACACGGGGTCAGATAAAACATGGCTTTATTTTCAACAGTATGCAACATATGGCGTTGCCGACACCACTGCGCATCCGCGCTCGACCACTTCCTTTGTCAATGGCGTTTGGGCGGCAAACGGACGGTAATTTTGATTTGACACTTGTTTTTTTGTGTTTTTGAGGGGCGTTGGGGAGAAATCGTTTTTATGAATATTTTGTGATATCTCATATACCTTTGTTTGCTGAAAGAAGAACTCCTGGCTCCGGAATAACACCTTATTTGGACCTTCATTCAGCGTGATGCCGTCCCTCCAGCTCGTTTGACATGTGCTTTACGGCGCGTGCGAGATGGCGGGAGCGGATGGGGTCAATTGAAACGCTTCTCTGAGGGTCAGTTGAAACAGGGCCACAATCCGTTTCAATGGACCCCGGTTACCTTTGCAATGCTTATTGTTCAGGGACTGTAAACATTAAAGGAAATAGCCCACCTTTGAAATGAGCTTTTAAAGTGAAATAGTAGTTTAATATAGCTAAATTTTTTACCCTTTTTTCTCCAGCCTTTTGCTTGAAAGCACACTATAGCCTGAGATATTTCTCATTTTCCTCATCCGCCCATTTTACCATAGTCTATGTACTTTATGTCACCTATTATGAGGAACTTTGCACTTTTAGCTTTCCAACGACCTATTGAATGTAGCATTTGGAAAAGTAAACCGGAAAGTGGTCTTAAAGAAAGTGGCCTTAAAGAGGAAAACATCCCATTGTTAAGGATAGGTGCAATTGACCCCATGGGCTGGTTCAATTGACCCTCGCATCGGGGTCATTTGAAACGGGCGTAGAGCTGTTTTATAAGCATGCTTTTGGCAGCAAAATATGTTTGAAACATAATTTTAATATCTTAAAATTAAGCCAAAAGAGCATATTTTTTCATGGTATTGTGCATTTTTCGATATGACAACTAGATCTCGCTGTGCATGTCAATATATAAAAAGTGGTTCAACTGGCCCCGCTCTCCCCCATGCCCTCCGCATGGCGTCCGAGACATAGGCGGCGGAACGGGGAGGGCACCGGGGCACCGTGCCCCCCTTTGATTTTGGCATTTTAACATTAGCCCTATGGGCGTTGCATGGAAAGAATGGGACCAAAAGTCGGCAGTGCCCCCCTTTAATTGAAGGTGTTCCGCCGCTTCTGGTCCGAGACCACCTAAACCTTCCTGGATCCGCCTATGGTCAGAGGTCACAGTTTCGTCTGCTTGATCTTTTTACTATTAATATTATTTTTTATAAATCATAAGCTCGAATGTTTGAATGGACGGATTGACAAAGCCGGAGCGTAGGTACCTACGCTAAGCAGAGCTTGTTGCGCAGACCCCGACCTCTCCCGTCCGATTCCGGGTAACGGAAGATTGGAGAATTTAGATGCCAAAGCTTAGCGTGCCCTTCAAAGCCGGTCACGGCCTGTCCCACTCAATTGACTTTCATTCAACTGGCTGCGGCTGCTCTGACTGCTCCCATGCCAATCGCAAACCATCCCGCCATCCCCGTCAGGACTCTCAAATCGAGCGCCGGAGCGACTCGAACCCGGCTCTCATTACCGCTCGGGAGTTTAATGCCCTATCAGCCGAGCTACGGTAGGCCAAATTGTTATCGCAAAAATGATCCAAATTGGGTTATCATTGTTCGCGTGTCGCGCTTCCAAAGGGCAACGAACGTTTTTTTTTTTGCAAATTGCATTATTGCTCTACCCCAGATTACTTTACTTTACTAGGAATCTTGAACAATTCTTTCATGTTTGGTAGCAGCTTACTGCTACCAAATCTATATGCGCCACAATCGTTTCTGTGTATGCTACATATTTGACGCGACGTCATTTTTGACTGGATTGGTCGCGTTTTTGATAATATTTCAATCAATTTTGAGGGTATTTAAGATAAGTTTTGCTATACTTTTACTCCAAAATATATCTTCTTATTTTTAGTGCATTTCTCCGCAGTCACCAATTGCTGAGAAGCGAAAACAAAAGCATTTTCATACGCCGGTGCTTTTTGACCGCTCATGACCCTCCATTTTGAATAGGTAGGTAGTACATATTTGCTAGGTTTTATGTGTTTCAGCTGTTTTATGGAGTTTTCCTTTTATTATTCAATGAACAAATTTTGTGTGATTTTTTTTTCAAATGTGAAAAATAATGTGTGCCAATGTATGGTAATTATTTCAAGGTTGGTGTTGTGCGAAATGCTTTCTCAATTTTTTTTCATGTTTAGCAAGTTTGTGAAGTGCTACACAAATGGTACAGATTTTGAACCATGTCTGTCGACTGTCGAGTTACATTGCTTGCACCCTGATGGACACGGGTAATACTGGAGTAAGAAAGGGGCTATTGAAATTGTTGCATGGTCTGGCGTAGTTCTTACAATGCAAGTTTTATTTGTCTGTCATTTGTGAACTATGAATTGATTCAAACATTGTGCCTGATGTATAAATTCTTAGGCATGTGATTAACTCACTTTTTTAATGTGAACTAGTTCAATAAGATTTTGTTTTGCAAAGCTTAGTTGATGTCAGTTTCAACTTTCAAAGTAATTGTAATGTTCATCATTTCTTTTAGCATCAATTTGTTTAGCAGCTTCAGATTTGAGGTAAAGATTTGCTCATTCATTTGTTATAGTGCATGTGCCAACTTCAGGTCCCTTAACATTATTGCACTAGGTTATATAAGTATTAATTTATGTCAGGCACCTTCATAATCATAAGTGTTCACTTTAAATTTGCAAATATGGGTGCAGTTTTTTTTGCTTCTCAATCTCTTACCAATATCTATTTGTTGCACCAATGGAACTGAACTCATACCACATATGAAGGTTCTGACTGATTCAAAAGAGACTAAGTGACTTACTTGTGTGTCACTTTCGGAAGATAAAGTAAACTGCAAAATGGCAAGACTTTAGGAAGAAATGCCTACTTATAAGAGTACAACGTATTATGTGTCTACTTTTTTCAATTAAATTAAAAGCTAGTGAAGTTTGCATGGCCTGCTCCTCAGGGCTGCGGAGTCGATGGATTTTCGGCGACTCCGACTCCGACTCCGGCTTTCAAAAACCAGCTCCGACTCCGACTCCGACTCCGGGCAGAATTGTCGACTCCCACCGACTCCAACTCCCGACTCCGACTCCGCAGACCTAACAGGGCTGCGGAGTCGACAGATTTTCGGTGACTCCGACTCCGGCTCGGGTTTCTAAAATCGACTCCGACCCCGACTCCGGTCACAACTGTCGACTCCGACCGACTCCGACTCCGACTCCGACTCCGACTCCGCAGCCCTGCTGCTCCTCATATTTAAAAAAGGTTGTTTATTGAGAAGAGCTGTGCTAAAACATTAAGAATATTGAGGGCAGCTCTTCATCATGGTACAAATAAAAGTCCAAAATAGTATTCTTTGTTTTCCATGGCAGAGCTGTTCTCAAAATTATTACTGAACATATTGTTATTTGCATAAGGCTTCTAAAGCTATGAGAATAAGGTCATAAAACACTAAACATAACTTCTACATATGATCCTTGCACAAGCACTAAGAAACCTGAAATCTTTACTTTTAGGTCATATTCTTTGTGGATTACATTGCCTTACCAGCTACCATTTATGAAGTTTCCACCAAGTCTTTATCACATGATGTGTCCTATTAGGCATAAATTAGCTCTCAAACACTGTTGGAAGTTAGGAGCTGGCTATGAACATGATATGTGTTGCATGATTCATAGACCTCTGTATACAGAGGTAGGTCTATGCGTGATTGTATATGTATATTGTACACACCTTTCATATTTTGTGAAATGTTAATGCTTTGTGCTTTGAGCTCATTTCCAGATGCTTGTCTTTGCTGTCACCTTTGTTGATTGATAATATATAATTGCTTCTTACCATGTGTTTTATGCTACCTTGCAACTGTGTTATGTTTACTGCCCACAGCTAAGTTAAATATACCTTATACCTTCTGCACTGTAAATATACTGGTACTTTACTCTGCCTATTTAAGAATGATATGTAAATGGTGTTCAAAATTAAAAACTATCCTTAGTTTAAAATAATAGTTCACCCGCAAATATTATATAGTTGGTGCTCTGGAAAATCGAAATATTTCTCATAACCTCTGTGTCCCCAGGCCAGCACGTGGTGACCGCCTCAGTCAGCGCTCCGCCCCTTTGCCTCTGTCCGCCTGCTGTCCTCCGAAGAGAGCTCGCGCCGCGGCGGTGCTGTGAGGACCGACGGCCGGGCGGAATGCCCTCGCCCGCGCTCTGAATGGGGCTCTGTGACCCGGCTCGTCTGGCCACAGCCATGTCTGCAGATGCCGCCTCACCGCGCCGCGACAATGGTACTTCCACCCCCGGCCGGAGCGGCGCCAGCGCCTCGCCGGCCGTCAATGGCGACACCGCCGATGGACAGGTGAGCCTTGGAGTTGGGTGTTACGTCGTTGGACCTGAAACCACCGGGCTAGCTAAGGATAGATCAAGTTATGGCATTAAGCTTCAGTAATCAAACCGGTATAGTAACCGAGTCTTATCTGTACTTTCGTCTATGCGCTGCTGAGGTTCAATCTTCTAGGTTTTGGTGGTTGGTTTATATTCATTCGAGAACTCTGCTTTTTCTAACTATTATTTTTAGAGCAGTGTTTCATGTCTCAATTGAAGAATAACGAAGATTTTCTTGCAGGCGCAAATGTTGAGTGATCAATATAGTCTCTTGTGACTGGTTAAAGCTTAATATAATGTGTCCGTAGCATTCTACGCAATTCCTTCTAGGCACGCTCAACTCGTGCCACGCTGCAGTGTTCATATTTATCACAGCTTACCATCGCTGTGTTTCAGGATTCGCGCTCCTCTGGCGGCCTGGAGGAGTCGGGCGGCGGTGGGTGCGGCACGGCGCGCGTGCGGCGAAAGCGGCGCCACACGTGTCCCGACTACCGGCGCTCGCCGCCGCCCCTCGAGAACGGCTGGCACGGCGTCGGGGAGCGCCTGTCGCCGCCGCCGCGGCTCGGTGCGGCGGACGGCTCGGCGCTCCGGTCGGCCGGCAGTCGGAGGAGCTCGGAGGGGGACGGCTGGGGCCGCGCCGGACGGTGCCACGAGAGGCCCGCCAAGCTGGCCCGGCTCGAGGCCTGTGTGAAGAAGGAGCCGGCAGAGCCGGTGGCGGCCACGGTGACACCGGAAAAGTCGCAGCTGAACAATGGTGATGGCGCTGACGAGCCGCCGTCTGTAGACGGGGATTGTGAACCCAAGGAGGAGCCGCCCGACCGACCCGACTCGCCGCCGCCGCCGCCAACGCCGACCACCGACACCCGCAAACGCAACCTGACCGAGACGGAGAAACTCTACCTGAACTCTGAGTGTCACAAGACGGAGATCCTGTCGAGCAAGCTGCGCCACACGGCCTGTAGGATGAGCGGTGCCGCCGCTGCCGCCTCCGCTACCTCCACCACTCCAGCCCAGCCGCCAGTGTTAATGCCAAACGGAGGCGACTCAAAAGGCCCGAAGGCCAAGCGGCGTCGGCGAGAGCCGGTGCCGCGTCGCCGCCGTCTTCCGTCGGTTGAATCTCCGGCCACGGACAGCGAGAGTGACGGCCCACCGCACCTGGAACCCGAGGCACCGCTGACAGCGGCTCCGCGCGGCGCCGCCGGCCGCGGCAAGGTGCAGGCTGGACGGCGGGGCACGCCAGCCCCCCAGCTGCGAGAGGCAGAGTCCGAGGCGGACACCGTGTCGTTTTCGTTCCAAGCAGCGCCCGACTCCGAGGAGTGGTTCCGCACGTTCTCCCGTCAGGAGGCGGGTCGCCGCGCGGTGGAGGACTTCTCGTGGGCGGCGGCCGGCGGCGGGCAGCTGCTGCCCTACCAGATGTCCGTGGACGAGCTGTTCCCGCCGGACCTGGTACCCGGCGGCGGCCGGCCGCGGCCCCTGAGGCCGCCCACCCTGCCCGACCGCTGGCTGCCGCCGCTGCCGGCCGCCGCCGAGGAGCGTGTCGCCGCCGACAAGTCCCCGCCGGCCGACTGGCTGTGTCTGGAGGAGATGTGTCGGGTGCTGCACCGGGCGGCTGACTCGCCGCCGGCGGAGGTGGAGTCGCCGGGGACAGAGGTGGCCGCCGCGCTCACCGCCTGGCCCGCGCACACCTCGCTCCACGAGCTGGCAGAGGCGGTGAACTCTGAGGAGCTGGGCGGCGCCGACTGGTCCGGCGCCGACTCCGCCAGCGAGCCGAGCCGGCCGCCGACACCGGACGCCTCTGCCGACGATGCCAGCAGTGTGAGCACGGACACCTCTGCCGGCACCGGCGGACGGCGGCGGCCCGTCAAACGGCGAAAAAAACCGCACCGGCTGGCCGCGCGCCCGCGTCAGGAAGTCGAATCTTCTGAGGACGGCTGTCAGCCGGGCGGCGGCCGAGGCCGAGGCGGGCCGGGACACGCCCGGACCTAGTTAACACCCGCTCGGCCCTGTATGTATGTGTATTTATTTCGTGTCAACGGATCAAATCCGTCGCGCCTTATTCATCGGTCCGATCGTGGTAGACGCGCGCTTCTGGGTCCGTTCTCAGGAAAATGAGTCGCTTCACATTACGCATTGTATTTCGTACAAAGGTGTGCGTGCATGTCTGAATGCTTGTATGAATGTTCGCGGCTATTGCGGACATCATGTTTGTCGGCGTCTTGTCGACGCTGTTCATGTTTGAGATTTGTGTCTGTATAGTTTGGACCTGGAAGGAGCCAGGTGTGTCCTGAGTACGATGTGTACGTAGGTCCCTTTTGTTGGACTGTGGTGTCTAACACGGGGAGAGCCAGTGATATACATTATATACCTTCTTTCCACGGAACGTGTGCTGGCCAGGCGCCTGAGACGTCGGCGTGAAAAGCACATCATTTCAAGTTCAAAGCGCGCTTTTATTCCATGCCCGAACTGGAAGCTAGGGCCTATATGCGGCATGATCAAATGTGGGACCGATATTCGGGGCATGGCGCTCGCCGTTTAGACGGCGCTTGTTTCAGAGACACGGGCAGAGAAATAGTCCGGATATCGCGTCGCTCACAGATGTCGACATCCCAACTGTGGGAGATCGCTGATGGAAATAAATGGTGTCATGAATGGACGCACTATGTGGTGAAATATTCTGAACGTTTGGTGCGGTGCATGGTATTTAAGTTCATGTAAACTGAAGGCTGATTGTCAAACGATAAGCACAGCCTACATTGTGGTAGTCGGTTGGCATGATATTGTGCACAAATCATAGAAGCGTATATCGCATCGCTGAGTCATATGCATACCGAAGTTGACGGTCGGACGGACGTCTCCTGCTTAGAATCTCTGTTGCTCCTAATCTGCTGATTGTTTCTCATGAACTTGCAGCTGTCAGCAATGCGCGGACAAACATGACATTGTGGGCAAACGGACCATGAATCAACACTGCCACTCTCGACAGCGCTTTGTTGATTGTGGTCGTCTAGCGGAGCATAGCTGGTGGCTCCGTTACGCCGCAGTTATCTCTAAATAGTCCCTTCGGTTCGGCAGTGGTAAGTACGTTCCAGGCGTGCCTAAATCTGAAATCATGATGCATTGCAAAAGTCGGCTCTGAATGGCTGGGACCGGGCACCTTGGGTGGATTTTTGCGTCGCCTCGATACTTGAGCATAACCCGTCAAAAACCGCCCGTTCCCATTCACACCAAACCTACCTATACAACGGGACCGGACACTGCACGAGTTGCGAACTACTAGCTACGCTGGTGTTATTGCGCGCACGTATAGGTATGCCAAAGAACCGTTATTCAGCCCAGATAACAAATGTCCAGGCGTCCAGCGTACGTTTATCTCTCGTGTCCGCCCTCGTCGCTCTTCTCTGCTTCCTCGCACGAAACTCATCACTAAACGACATCTGTCTGGTATAATTCTGTATTTGTCCAGCTATAGAGGGCGGCGGCGGTGGTGACCGACCTCGCCCCTCTGAGCAACACAAAACATCCGACGGGCCGCGCGCGCCGGGCGCCGGCGGCGGCCGGGTGTCGGGCCGCCGCCGCGCCGAGCCACAGATGAGGTAGCAATGAGGTACCAGACGAACGGTTTGTCGGGGTCCGGCGGGGCGGGAGCGGCTGACGGCCGGCGGGCGGCCAGCGCGACCGCGCCGGCCAGCGGCGCTGACAGAACGGCACGGTGAGAACGGACCAGGCGAGCCGATTTGGTGAAAGCGAGCACCGGGGAACGACAGGGAGTTAGAGAGATAAAAACGATGAAAGGTTTCCAGTAGCTTCAGGTAGCCCAGATTTTCAATCAGCTCACAAAGTGAGATTGTGCGACAGAAGGATGTAAACTGTTAGCTGGCTCGCAGGTCCGTTCTAGGGCCGTTTTTCCTGACCCGCTCTCGAGGTCAGGTCGCCACCGGCCGCGGTCGCGACGGCCGTCCGCCCAAAGTTTGTACTCTATGATACGCACTGGCCGGAGAGCGGCGTCAGGCTGCTGTCGACTCCGACACACCGGCGCGGACCAGGCGAAGATCGCACACCGGTATTCGCGGCCGGGAGCCGAGTCGCAGCCCGTCGCGGCCGTCATCCCGCCCGGCGCCGCCGCCACGCACAAATCAGCTACTAACAGATACATGTTTGTACAGACGAGCTACAATACAATCCAGTGAGGTTTGTCCGGTTTGGGGCGGCCCGTGCGGGTCCGCCGTCCGGCTTTGAGGTCCGCCAGCCGGCGCTGCCGCCGGCTCGTTCGAGGTCGTTTTTCCTGGTCTCCTGTCGGGTCTGTCCGGGTGTGTTCGGGTCTGTGGGTGGGTCCTGTTCTGCTGCTCCGGGAGACCCGGGCCGCTGCGGGCCGCGGGTCGGTGGGCGGCTCGGCACGCCGACAACTGCCGGCCTCTGGCCCGGCGCGAGCGCCGCTCTGAGATCGCACCCGGCCTTCAACAACTGCCGGCCGCGCCGGGCTCGCAGGTCCACTTCTACTCAGCACCAGCAGCCAGGCACTCGTCCCTGGCTCGTTCACCGATAACAAGTGACCGCCGCAGCGGCGGCTGGGCCAAAAAAGCCCCGACGGCCAGCCGTCGTCACACAAATGGCCGTCGTCGCGCTCCACCCAACGCTCGTGCAAAACTGAAGGGCGCCTTCGACAGCACATACAAAAATAAGCTATGCACTCTAGGGCGAGACGGGCCGTTGGCGCGAGCCGCGGGCCGTCCTTCCCTCAGTTTCGCGCGTTGCTCGCTCGACTGTCATACGTCTCTCCATAGTCGTTCTTGATCTAGTGTCACGTTCTCCCCTTGCATACCAGCTCATCATATGCATATTTCCCCGGTAGTCGCGCCTCCCTCCCGTCACACACACTCACTCACCCTGTGCCACTCACGCACTCTGCTCAAACAGCGGCCCTCCAGTCCCCGTCTCCCGGCACTCCACGCTGCGGGCGCCGGGTACGGCCGGGGTCGGCGGCCGGCCCGCACCGAGTGCCACCGACCGCCGCCCCGGCGCCCGGCCTGCCCGCACATCCGCCAGCTCCGGCTCCGTCCCGCACAGCTCAGCTCCAGCTCAGCTCCTTCTAAGGACAATCAGCACCCTGAGAATGTCGCGCGCCACCGCCGGAGGTCGCTGCTGCGCCGCCGGGCGGCCGCTCACACCAGCGGGGTCTCGTCGGAGGCGGCGGCCGGCGGCGGCGGCTGCGAGACCGGCTGCAGACGCGGCACGGGCGCGCCCTGCGCCACCAGTGCGCGGATACGCCGCTGCGCAGACTGAACGGAGATGAACGGGCCCATGATATGCACGGCCGTCTCTGCGTTGGGCTCGCCGTGCTCGGCCGGCTGCGGCAGCTTGATGACGGTGCCGGTGGTGCGCTGCAGCTCGCGCACGTTCTGGCCCTTCTTGCCGATGATGCGGCCGACCTGTGAGCTCGGCACAGAGATCTCGACTGAGAGACGGACGTCGTCCAGCCCGGTACCGTAGCCCTCCTCTCGCAGCTTGTCGAATATCATGTACTGAGCCTGTCGGAGCGAGATAAACAGTTGGTCAGCGAGGAACAGGCTGCGATCTATCCACAGTCAACGCTCACCTACCAGCATCTCCCAGGGCCGCCATCGGTCCTAGCTACTCTCACTGACACCTCCCATCATTTCAAACATAACAGATACCCACTCAACACCGATACTCAACAACATCAACACCGCCCCAACGATACTCAGCCATCTCTCGTGCCCTGTCTTCGGGCTGCCACCCCATCTCACAGTCCCATCAGCTACCGCCTACCTCCCACCATCTCGTAAAAGTTGATACCCCATCAACCACTAACACCTAGGCGTAGCACCCATCTACCTTTCGTCATTCAAAGACACCCACCCACCTATCCCCTATGATCTCGCGCCAAGCACTCACCTTCCACTGGGCCTCTGGTGTGCCATAGATGGCCACTTTCCTCTCGGGCGGCCGGTCCATCTGCGCAGCTGACGCCCTTAGCTGCAGGCCCTCCACCTTCTGCTTCAGCTCCAGCAGCTCGTCTGAGGTCGCGCCCTCCGCCGCCTGGCCATCTCCCTCCTGACGGACCGGCTCGTCCGCCTCCACTGCCGCCGGCGGCTCCGCCTGCTGCCCCTCAGACTCCCCAGTTTCTGTTGTCTGGGCCTGCTCGCTGGCGTCCTCTGGTGGCGAGGCACCGTCTCCGTCCCCGCCCTGCGCGGCAGCAGCCTCACCGGTCGGCGGCGCGGCACTCTGCCGGCCACCACTCAGCGGAGCCTCCTCCTGCTGGCCGATTTTGACGGTGGCTCCCGAGAAGCGGATCATGCTACGGATGTGGCTGCCCTTGCGGCCGATGATGGCGCCCACAGACGCGGCCGGCACGTACACGAACACGCTCTCCGGCTGGCCGTGCATACCGTGCATGCCTGGCGCGGCGGCCAGCAGCCCGCCGTAGCCGGCCGGCCCGGCGCCGTACAGACCGGCCTCTCCGCGGCCGTAGCCGGGCATCATGCGCGCGCCCATGTCGGGGTACATGCCCATCTGGGGAGCCGCAGTCTGCAGGTCGTGCTCGTAGCTCTGGCGAAGGCGAGTCATCACAAGGCGCTCGGCTTCGGCGATACCGTCGGCGGTGCCGCGGATCGTGATAGTCCGGTCCAGATTGAAACTGTTCACGTCCGTCGCGCTGCAAGAGCAGAGGGAGGAGGGCGTAGAGTTAAAGAGCTGGTGTTGACGGAATCGAGCGCACTTCGGGAGCAAGCTATATTTATCAATATACAAGGCAGATTGACAAATCGCACCAACATGGCAAGATAGGGTAGTTGCTTTATCATTATCAACTAACAATCGCTGCACAATCGCACCACAAAAAGAAAACTACACAAAAGACGAAGCAATCACAGTTCATGTTTCAGGTCAATAAACGTACAGTTTTGATTTGGACTATTCTTCAGTCGAATAACGTATCACCTTGTGGCTTCATTGTTTTACGACAGTTGAAGTTCGAATGCCGACCGTCGTATAACAATGAAGCCCTAAGACGAGCCGACGCGGTCAAGCGGTTACGATGCCGTTGTGTTGTACAAAGGGTTCTAAGCCGCACCCATGGACGGTCACTTACTCCCAGAGGAGGGGGATGGTCTACAGAAAGAGAACGGCCAGCTACTCCAGGCCAGCGTTTTAATTACTTAGGATCAGGACTGCAAATGTCGCTGCAAAGGTCACAGAGTCCTGCGAATGATACATAATCCTCTGGGAGATTAATTGCTTCCTAATGCCGGCCAAGAAGGTATGAGCTCTCTCTCTCTCTCTCTCCTCTCTCTCTCTCTCCTCTCTCTCCTCTCTCTCTCCCA